GACGCATGATCGCACGGGCTATTCTGGTGCATATTGCTATTTATTATTAATTGTCCGTCCTTCTTTTTGTTTGCAATTCGTTAGTTTCTGGCGTACTAAGATTCTCATCTTTGGTGACCCAAATATTTCTTTAAGCTTTTCGACTGCTTTAACTTTCCTTTTCATCGTCTGTGAGGTCTTCAAACTCTTCTCGAGGGAGCCCAGTAAAGGGGGCACTTCAGGTGCAGGAGGAGATGGTGGGAGGCGTTAGATGAAGATGGAGGGGTGAAGCAGGCATTTCAGTATCGGATTGAGCTCGTGCAAATTAGCGAGGGCGAGGAAGGGAAGGGGGGAAGGGCATTCGGTAAAAATTTTTGAAGTCTGTGGCTGTGTATAATTTCAGATGTTGGAGAGTTTGCGTGATGCGTTGGCAACGGTACAAAGCGAGCTGTCAAGCGGGTGAGCCGCGCGCTCCGTTTTATGCGTTGTTTGAGTTTTTGGAATTGATTAAAGCAGATATATGGAGGAATATAAAGTGGGATGTTGATCTGACGGAGCAACTGCGACTCTTCCCCGAAAATCACAAAACCGAAGCAGAAGAGCTACAGACACCGCGGTGTGGTAGAGGGAGAAGCAGCACTGTCATCTACAGCAAGCAAACACAACATCACATTTAATGGTGCAGAAGACGAAACGATACAACGCCCGGCAGCAGCAGCAGCAGCAGCAGATGACCAGTGGTCAGCAGATGAGCAGCAAATTTCCAGTCAATCGACAGAAACAACTGACTGGTGACTTGACAGCAGCAGATGACCATTTTATAAAAGTAACGAATCCGGACAAGGCAGAACAATGCTTGAGCTTGTAAACGGTTCATCTTGTGAATCGGTGATGTACCGCCATCCAGCAGAACCCCACGCATAGATGCATGTGCGTGCACATACACACACACATATGCATACACACATACACACCCAGTGTTAATGAGATTCGACTTTACTGCATTTCCTTTTTTGCTTCTTTTTTTCAAATTTATTTCGCAGTTAATTAGCACAGCCAGTTTTTAGTTTACAGTTTTGCAGTGTACAGAAATTGCGCGGCACAGCATCGCCAACGGT